CTAAGAATACAATTACCAATTAAAAGTGCTAAACCAAGACAAAGGAAACTCCACAACTTGATTTAAAAAAACAAAGGTTAATCATGTACTTCATGGCCAGGAAGAAAACTACGTCTTGATTTTCCCTATGCTAATTTATGAATATAATATCCCAGTAATGTACCAAATGATTTTTCTAGTGGGGGAAGTTTGGCTAAATAAGTTCTAAATTCAGATGAGAAATTATACAAATAAAAATGGCTAGAAAAAAAGTGCAGTGGAAAGGCATTCACTTTAAACGCTCTTAAAACACATATACTATTTTAATTAAAAGTCAGGGGGCTGGGGCTGGAGAGAGCACAGTGGGAAAGACGTTTGCCTTACAAATGGCTGAGCCAGGTTCAGTCCCTGGCACCCTGTATGGTGCCCAGGGCATAGCCGTCAGGAGTGATCCCTGAGCATGGAGTCAGGAGTAAGCCCTGAGCACAGCCAGGTGTAGCCCCAAAACAAAAGTGTAGAGGGGGGCTGGAGCAATAGCACAGCAGATAGGGCATTTGCCTTGCACGCGGCCAACCCAGGTTTGATTCCCAGCATCCTATATGGTCCCCTGAGCACCGTGAGGGGTAATTCCTGAGTTCAGAGCCAGGAGTAACCTCTGTGCATTGCCAGGTGTGACCCAAAAAGCCAAAAAAAAAAAAAAAACCCAAAGCGTAGCGCTGGAGCAATAGTACAGTGGATAAGGTACTTGTTTTGTACATGACCAACCAGGTTCGACCTCCAGAATCCCATATGGTCCCTGAACACTCACAAGAGTATTTCTGAATAACCCCTGAGCACTGCTGGGTGTGCCCAAAACATTTTTAAGTTTTTTAGAAAACTGTGCAAGCAGACTGTATTTTTTTTTAAAAAAAGACAAAAGAAAAAAATGATAGAGAAAACACAAAAATGGACTTAATTAAGATAACTTCATAAATAGTGAAAGTGGCATTTTAAATTTGTGGAGTTTTTTTGCGAAGGGGTTCCATACCCAGTGGTGACCATTCCCAGTTTTGGACTTGAGGGTAGGTCCTGGGCATGCTCAGGGGACCATGTGGTGCCAGGGACCTAACAAGGGATGACCACACGCAAGGCAAGAGGCTTAACCCCTGTCCAACTGCTCTGACTCCAGTAGAGGTCATTTCTTAAAAAACTGGAAATGAGACAATGGAACAGATATCTGTAAGAAAACGGAATCCATCTGAATCCATCAGAATAGAATCCAAAGAGAATCAAACATTTACAGACCAAAACATCTACATCAAAGCACTAGATGTTGAAACATCTTTTATAATGCTGGAAAGAACCAAGTTTTCTGAATGATTATTGAAATTCAGGTAAATCTGATAACTTTCTAACAAAAACATCTTATGGGTAGAGCGATAGTGCAGCTGGAAGGGCACATGCCTTGTATGTGGCTTTCCTGGGTTCAATCCCCGGCACCCAATAATATCCCCTGAGCCTGCCAGTAGTGATCCCTGAGTTCAGGCCAGGAGTAAGTCCTGAGCACTGCCAGTGTGGATCAAGAACAAAAAACAAAAATAAGCAAATATAAAATAGTCTTTAAGGCCAAAAAGACTGAACAGAAGAGGGACATAGATTTAGAAAAACAGATCAGGAAATATCAACAGAGGAAAAAATCCCTGTAATTCATATAAAAACAGGTTAAATAAGTATAACCTACAAAAAACAATTTTAAAAAGACTAAATTTTTCTGGAAGGTGGTTGGGGCCACACCTGGCTATGCTTAAGGCTTACTCCCTGTGCTCAGAAATCACTCTTGGCACCTAGAACAATAAATTAAAAATGTAATTTATAAAATCAACTTCTATGTAATTATCCTACACATTTACTTATAGACATGAAAAATGTCTTATGTAAACTATAATTCACTGCTGCATCATTTAATTCTATCCTACTAATAGCATCCTATCAATACAGGATATTTACTGAGTTGCAGTACACATATATAAAAAAACAAAATTACCAAGAAGATATTAAAAGAGAAAGCACCATATAGTACTATAAAAATTATCATATCAATGGCTAAAAATTAAAAAGGATAGAAAATATTCTGTGTCTTACAGTAAAATATATACTGTTGTGAGGGAAACTAAAATTTCTTTTTTGCTTAGGTATCTTAGGTATGTATTTTTAAATAACAAGAAGGAAGGGAGACAGGAATCTGCTGCATGTAAAATAAAGGAAAGAAACTTTTTACTTCATATCTTTATAAAGGTATACTTTGATTTGCTGCATTTCACAGACAAAATTTTACAAAGTGAAGATTTTGTAACAATCCTACATAGAGCTTATCTGTCATATAGCATGGGGTTCACAGTATTAACTGTGTCACATTTTGATAATCTTATGCTATTTTAAACTTTAACTTAACGACACTCGTGCCTGTCACGATGACCTGTTATTAGTGAACTCTGATATTATACTGTAATTGTTTTAGGACACAAAAAGAGATGGAAAACTTCATTCATAAATGTGTTTTATGTATGCTGCCTGCTCCTGACTGGCTCTACCTCTTCGCACTCATCTCTCCCTCTCCCTTATTCTTTCAAACACAACGATAGCGAAAGGTCAATAAATTAACCTGACACTGTCCTCTCGATGTTGCAAAGAAAGGGAGAGTTGTGCTTCTCTCACTTTATTGAGCTTAGTGAGGAAGGCATGTTGAAAGCTGAGGGAGCAGAAGCTGGGTATCTCAAGGAACTCAGTGAAGTGGTGAATACAAAGGAATAATTTTTTTCTTTGTTTTTTAAAGGGGGTCATACTCAGGGATTACTCCTAACATTGTGTTCTGAGATTATCCCTGAAGGTGCTTGGAGAAGCATATGTAATTCCAGGATCTGAACACGGGTCATTTAAGCAAGTATCTTAACCCCTATATGATCTCTGTGGCTCCCAAAGAAATAACTTCTGAGGGAACACAAAGGTGCTACTTCAGTGAATTAAAGAATAAGGAAGTCAAACAGCCTTGTTGCTGATACAGAAAAAGTATTTGTGGTCTGCATAGATCAAACCAGCCACAACATTCCCTTAAATCAAAGACTAATCCAAAGTAAGGCCTTAATTTTCCGTAATTCCGAGAAAGCTAAAAGAGATGAGGAAGATGAAAAAAGAAAAGTTTAATCTAGCAGAAGCTGGTTTGTGAGACTTAAGGGGAAAATGTCTCCATAACATATAAGTACAAGGTGATGTAGCACAAGTACTGATACAGAGGTTACACAAAGATGCTTCCTGACCCATGCCAGGCAGAGCTGACTGGGGCACCCTGGGAAGGGGAGGGAGCGGGTGCCCAGCACCCACCCAATCAGAGCCCCAAAAGCCTAAAACCTCCACACTCCACAATCTCTGCCATACTTATGGCCAGACCCCACTGCTCAGGACAAGCCTCATGCAGATATTCATCTGCTGAAAAACTCAATATATAGGTTTTGTGACTGAAATGTCCAGGCTCTCAGGGAGTAGGGGATGGGGACCTCCACCCATCACCCTATTCTTCTGGAAACCTGGCAGTCACATCCATGAACTACTTCTGGTACCAAATAAACTCATTAACCAGCCATGACACAGAAACATATATAAATCCCAAGAGAGATCAACAAGTTGCAGAGATGTTTCTGGACTTCATGCCAAGCTGAATTATCCAAGGCACCCAAAGTCACCATCCAGTTAAAAATTTAACTCCTGCTGTAACACCCCACTAAAATTTTTTTAATTTCTGGAGCACATGGCCACATTTATGGCCGAGTAACATTTCAAACTCTGCATCACTCATACACTAGGAGTAGCACACCACATTGGATGGGATGTAAAGTAGAAGACAATCAATCTCGAATAACAAGATGTAAACACACAAGGCTTGAGCCAGAGAAATAACACAGTGGGTAGGGCATTTGCCTTGCACACGGCCTTCCCGGTTTCAATTCCTGGTATCCCATATGGTCTCCCGAGCACCACCAGGAGTAATTCCTGAGTGCAGAGCCAGGAGTAAAACCTACGACCACCATGCATAGCCCAAAAAGCAAAATAAATAAATAAATTTTTAAAAAATCATAAAAAAAAAGCACACAAGGTTTAACCTGTAACAACATGTGAGTAATCTCTTACACAAGGGCTTAATGGCTCCATGTTTAGATACAACAATCTTCACACAGTTTCTTCTAAGTAAACATTTTTTTTATCATTTTTAGTGAGTTATTTCTGACCAGCAATATAAAATAAATTATGCAGGGTTGCTATACAGGCAGGCTTGAGGGGCGGTTGGGAAAATTGGAAATAATAGTGATGGGAAGGTGCAATGGTGGTGGGATTGGTGCTGGAGTATTGAATGCAAAAAATCATCATAAAAATTGTATTAAAAAAGAAAAAGAAAAGAAAACTGTGGAAGAAAAAAAATAACAGCTACATAAGTTACTCAGGAGACCTAGATGAAAAAAACGATGTAGGTGGCTATACATCAGATTTTCATTATGAAGCATTTTGAAATTAAGGTTTGTACACTGCTTTACCAGACATATGCTATTATACAATTAAAAGACCAGTACAGTATAAACTTAACTTTAATATGCACTGGGAAACCCTAAGCTTGGTGACTTTCTTTCATTTTAACTGTCTGAAGCCAAACCTGCAATTATACCTAAGGTGTGTGTGTCTATATACTCTATATACTTGTTGATACCTGAGCCACCGGGGTGTAGTATCTGTTCAAAAATTAAATTATAAGGTACTATAGTAATAGATGTAATATTTGATTATTTCAGCATTTCACCAAAAGTATCACAAAAATGATACTTGGGCAAGATAACGCAGCATCTCATATGGTGCTCGGAGCCCCACCAGGAGTCATACTTCAGCACAGAGCCAGGAGGAAGCCCTGAGCACTGCTGGGTGTGGCCCCAAATCAAAAACAAAATAAGGGTAAAAACTTAAGGTTTTGAAATGTAAGGAAAAGCATACATAAAACGTACTCTGTTTCTTTTGTTTCAGTCACCTCACTTATCCACACATCAACAGCACACGGCAAGTGATCAACTTTGCTTACTCCACTTGGCTCCTCTAGAACTTCTGCTTCTAAGTCATCGGGTTCTGAAAAGCAAAAACAGTAGTTAACAAAAGACGAATCAAATTTCGTTTAGAGAAACCAAACTTTCTAAAAATTATCATTAGCTAATTTAGGCTAATATAAAAGTATCAGGAAAATATTTTATCCCTAGATCTTTAATTTTGTTGTGTTAACCCTCTACTTCAGTTGTTCCTAAAATGAAAGTCTTGGATTTTTCACTGTAATGCTACAACAAAAAATGAAAACTTGTGTACTTAGTCTGGGCCTGTACAACAAGTTTAAGTAGAAAGGATTTCAAAGAGACATGCTCAAAGATTAGCCAGTGAAAAACAGTGATTGGAGAGTAGAAAAAAGGGGAGAGAAAATCTGGTTCTGTGTGATAACAAGAATCATGGCAAATGTGTCTTAAAAGATACAATAATTTGACTAAGGAGCTACCTAAACAGGTTTTTCCAAGCGACGACTAGCTTCTTCCAGCAGCCTCTGATACAGAGAAGTGAATAAAGAGTTGAGCTTGTGAGGAGATTTCAGAAGAGAAAGGCCAAGATAGTTTCATCGAGGTAACAAAGGCCTCTCATGGCCTCAAGACAAATGCTAAATTGAAGACAAGAAACTGGTCTCAAGGCAAAGATGAAGTCCAGGATGTCACCAAAAAGACAGAGCAAAGTTTTATGCACAGAAAGATTTAAAGATCTGCTTCACAAGACAAGAACCTCAAGTGTACAGTCTCAAATAGACATTCACAAGGCACCACAAGGTAGAAAAGTGTTGGCTTTACTTACAAGTGGTACTACATGGAAAGTATCATGTTAAGCGAAATGACTCAGAAAGAAAGGGATAGACATAGAAAGATTGCATTCATCTGGGGAACATAAAGTAACAAAATAAGAGACTAACACCCAACAGTGGCCGAGATTAGTACCAGGACGTTTGCTCCATGGCTTGGAGGCCAGCCACACATACTGGGGCAAAAGGAAGCTCAGACAGGGAAGGGAACACCAAATAAAGGATGTTGGGAGAATCCTCCCAGGATGGGAGAAGCATGCTGAAAGTAGACTATAGACCAAACATGATTGCCACTCAATGCCTCTTTTGCAAACCACAACACCAAAAGGAGAGAGAGAACAAAAGGTTCCACAGAGGCAGGGTGGGATGGGGAATATGGGGGGTGGGAGGGATACTGGGACCCGTGGTGGTGGAAAATGGGCACTGAAAAATGGGTGGAGGGATGGGTACTGGATCATTGTATAACTGAAACCCAAGCACAAAAATTTGTAAGTCTACAACTGTACCTCATGGTGTTTCACTAATAAAAATTTTTTTAAAAAGGGGGGTTTCTGCCAAATGTCATGAGCCAATCAAATAACATTCCATGCAAAATGCACAAAATTGTTAATAAAATTCTCCTTGCAGAAGTACCACAGCTTGGACTGAAAGAAGGAAGAGAAGAACCCTAATTCCTATCAACGTTTAGTACAAAAGAAAAAGCTGACAAACTCCTGGCTGAATTTCGGAATTCCTATGGATCAATTATTGCAATGCATGCCCCCGTTTTTCTTGGTGGTGACTTATCCTTTTCACTTACAATTCTTCACTAATTCAGAGACCTGTGACCAAGGGAAATTAGCTGCACGCGGGCCTGGCTTTTCTACTATTATCTTTAGACTTTGATCCAAAATCATAAGCTGAAGCTTTGATGAGGGTAAGCGTACTTTGTATATGGGTAATTATAAATAATTTGTCAGGAAGCATATAATGGCAGACCAGTCTGTTAACTCATTCCTTTCTCCTCTAGGCTAGCCTACAATTGCTCTGACCAAATGAGTGTGGTAGAAGTGATCCCAATGCCAGTTCTGAGATTAAGAGAACAAGCAGTTTTAATCTTAAGTATCTGCTCAGGTAACACTCCTGGAGGTGCCCAGAGGAGCAACTGCAGTGGGTGCCAGGGATGGAACAAGGACTGGCAGCATGCAAGGCAAGCCCCTTAAGCCAGATACTATTTCATTAATTGAAGTGACTGTAAGCCCCAGGCTACTGTGTAAGAAGTTAAGACTCACCTTACTGGGGAAAGTTTATGGGAAAGGCCAGACCCTGCATTAAAGGGGAATGGGGGGCATGTTTGATCTAGCCCTCTACCTGCACCTGCCAGGATGCCAGGAAAGACATTCTGGACTGATCAGACCAGCTTGGCTGCAGCTGAGCACAACCAAGTCATCCCAAAGACATAGATCGTTTAAAAAAAAAAAGTAACCAAGCTTTGAGTCAATTTCTGAAAAAAATCATGATATATAATAAAATGGTTATAGTCTTAACATGCTGAGTGATTTGTTATGTAGAAAAAAAGACTACTAAAACATGAAAAATATTTAACTTAATTTAAGAGGAATCACTCAAAAACATTTATTTCGATTATTTTTTTAATGAAGAAATTAAAGTATCATTAAATCAAATAAGTTCATTTTTGATCCATTAAAACAGACTATCAATATTTCCACCTGGTTTCAACTGCATCTGTGGCAATGCCTCACTAGACTTGGGGCTATTTATCGCTACAGGACAATTAATAGAAGCTGATGAATTTATGCCAAAACACAATTTTTCTTCTTCAGTAATTAACGGTTTATGCGTCTCCCTTTTAGGAGAAATCTCTGACAAAAAGTGAAAAACTCGTGTTACAAGTTCAAAATGACTGATAAAGACACTTAGGGCAAAGTTTTAAAGAATTATATTCTTACAGCAGTTAATTTATTTAAGTTGCTATGCATTAGAGATTAATAAATAATTAAGGATAATGATAGTTATTTTATTTTAATTGTACATAGTAAAGAATTTAATTATGCATAATTATTTCTGGAACAATTAACATAGTTTATTTTTTTCTTTTTGTGAAATTTATATATGTGTATGTGAGTGTGTGTGTGTGTGCGCGCGCGCACGCGCGCATGCATGCGTTTGTGTGCCAGAATGGTATACTCTTAATTATAAGAAAATTGTTTCAGTTTGTTTCTCGTAACTGCTAGTTAATTCTAATTGCTCTGAAACTCTCCATACTTCTAATGCCTGAAGAGTATAGTTTTACCTCAGAAAATCTATTGCAGTCTATCTACTAAAATTGTCATTCATTTTGGTTTTTTTTTCCTTCATTTTTCTCCTTACCAACTATATTTTCTTTTTTACTTTTAGGCATTTATGGCTTGCAATTCTATTAATAAAAAAATTTCAGGCATATAATATTTCAGCTCGACAACCAGCATCCCTGCACCAATATCTCAAGGTCCCCTCACACCCATCCACCCTGCCCCCTTCTTGCGTATCTTAAAGATGTTGCATTAGTCTTACTTTTCTGCTGTAAAATTATGGCTATTAAAATTAGGTACAGGGATGCCAGATTGCAATATCACTATCATTAAACATTTTTTAGAAGGTCTAATACAAGCAGTAACCAAGAAAAAAGGAATAACAACACTGAACCAGAAAACCATTTATTTTCACTGCAACCTGAACATACAGATGACCTAAGAAAGAAGAAAAAGAAAAGGTTTAATAAGTGAGTACGGGGGCTGGAGCGATAGCACAGCGGGTAGGGTGTTTGCCTTGCACGCAACCAAGATGGCCGACACAGGTTCGATTCCCAGCATCCCATATGGTCCCCCAAGCACCGCCAGGAATGATTCTTGAGTGCATGAGCCAGGAGTAACCCCTGAGCATCGCTGGGTGTGACCCAAAAAGCAAAAAAAAAAAAGTGAGTACGGTATCTGGATATAAAACTTCTATGATAGCAGAGTCAAGAGATAGTATAGAGCTATCCACATGCCTGGCATGTGGCAGATGCAGTACCCTGCGGTCCTCCTAGCCCCAGGAAGGAGTGGGAATGGTGGCCCCCAAGCACAACTGGGATCGTCCACAGAATACCCTGCCCAAAGGACCCAAGAAGCTTCAAGCACATAGGTCAATCCACTCAAATTAGCATGGAACCATCAAACTCCCTGTACAGCCAAAGCAATTCTGAGAAGAAAGAAGATGCATTACATTCACTGGCTTTATATTATGTCACAGAAATCTAAATAATGCCATACTGGAATAAAACCATACTCTCAAACCCATAGTTGGAGTATAGTTGAGAGCCTTAAGTAAATCCTCAGATATACAGACAGTTAATTTACAACAAAGGAGTGAGGTGCATTAAGTGGAGAAGGAAAGCCTCTTCAACTACTGATGCTTAGTAAGATGGTTAGCCAAATGGAAAAAAAAAAAAAAGAAAGAAAAAAGAAACTGGACTCTATTTCTCAAACTATAAGGTAAAGGTAAAAGGTAAAGGCCCTCCCGTTGATTGTCGATTTTGCTCGAGCGGGCCCAGTAACGTCTCCATTGGAGACTTTGTTGTTACTGTGTCTGGCATATCCAATACTCTCGGTAGCTTGCCGGGCTCTCCGAGAGGGGCGGAGGAATTGAACTCGGGTCGGCCATGTTGGCTGCTTGTAAGGCGAATGCCCTACCCGCTGTGCTATCACTCCAGCCCTCTCAAACTATAAACAAAGTTAATTCAAAATAGGTTACAGATCTCAGTATTAAATCAGAATTCGTAAGATATGTCAGGAAAACAGGCTGAGGTCTCTGTAATATCCACTTCAGAGGTGTGCTGAGTGATTCAACTTCTTTTGTGTTTTTGGGTCACATCTGGCGATGCTCAGGGCTTACTCCTGTCTCAATGCTCAGGAATCACTCCTGGCAGAATTCGGGGGACCATAAGGCATGCCAGGACTGAACCAAAGTTGGCTATGTGCAAGACAAATGCCCTAACAAATGCCCTAACCACTATACTATCTCTCAGGTCCCTCAATGATTCAACAGAAATGCTATTTCAAATGACTATTTCAAATGATTATTTCAAATGAAATGTAATCTATAAAAGAGAAGAGAGCTATAATTAACAAAATAAAATCCCCAGTTATTGGGGAAAATATTCACATATTATATCTAATGAAGAGCTATTATAGAAGATATATAAAGTATTTGCAACATTCAATAACTACAGGGTATCAGAGAAATAGTAGTGAAATTAAGGTACTTCCCTTGCTTGCTGCCGGCCAGATCAGCTGCCTGGCACCACACGTTTCCTTGAGTTTACTGGAAAATAAAGTTCACCAGGAGTAGCATTGAAGAGCTCTGAGTACTGCTGGGTGACTCAGGTAATCCCTGGCACCGGTGAGCCTAAACACCACTTTCTTGGCCCAGCATACTGAACCACTGGCCTACTTGGCTGAGAAACATCAGGAGGGGACGCTGAGCTTCCTAAGCACCACTTGGCATACCCCTTACCCCCCAAAACTCAAGAACAGGAAAACAAAAAACATGAAAGAAATGGCAAGAGGAGCTGAACAGACACTTGGTCAAAGCCAACAGGCATGTGCTCATCAGAGAAGAGCTAAGGAAAAGCAAACAAGAAAGCAACTCACATAAGTGGGAATGACCTGCACTACAGACACCGGAAACACTCGTGCTAGTGAGGTGGGGCGAAAAACAAGACCCTTCACCCATGGTCCTGGCGGAACCCCGCCTCCTCCCCCTGGAAACAGCTCTGTAGTCAGTGTAACGATTTAGTCACACTGGACATTGTCTATTCTGCGTTTTCTTTATATACCATGTACAGGTAAAATCATCTGGTATTTGCCTTCTGGTTTATTTCCTACTGATTTATTTCCTTTAACACGACACCCGTTTTGCCATTCATAATAAATAAAATGCAAAATCTCATTTTTTTCCTACAGCTTAGTAGTAAGCACTCCATGTATATATCACAACATTTCTGTCTCTGTCTCTGTCTCTCATTTGGGGAACATACCCAGTAGTGTTAGATGACTACTCTTGACTCTGTAGTTCATACTGGGGGTGCATGGGGAACCATGTTTGTGTTAAGGAATGAACTCAGAGTTCCAGCATGGAAACAAGTGCTACAGACAGACCTTTGAACTATCTTCCCTGGCCTTATACCTCAATATCTTTATCTAACCCCCACTTAGCTGTTGGGGCACATTTTAGATCTTGGATATTGTAAATACTGTTATAATAAACATAGATATGCATTTATCTTCTGGTTTGTTTCTGGGCCATACCTGGAGATGCTTAGTGGTTACTCCTGGCTCTAAACTCAGAAATCACTACTATAGGAGGAACATATTGGATATTGGGGACTGAACCCAGGTAGGTCACATGTCTCTCCACAATCTCTCCAGCCCTATCTTTTTAAATTAATGTTCCTGTGTTCTTAGGATAATGTTTCTGTGTTGTTGTATCATATGTAAGTTCTATTTTTAATCTTATGCGCAGTTGCTACAGTGTTTTCTCAGAGGTTGAAGCAATTTACAATTTAACTGTGTCTTCAACATATGGAGCTGGCACAACTGGACATTCACAAACACCAAAAACAAACAAATAAAAATTAGTAAACACAATTTATATCCTTCTCATTACTGTCACTCTGTGGGCTTGGGATAAAAGTGAATGGCATAGCACATGCTCTGCATATATAAGACTACGGGTCTGCTACCTGGCACCAAGATATTTTACTCTGTGAATGGCAGAAAGATAATACAAACCATAGAAGGAAAATCCGCAGAAGTCATCTAGGACTATTAACCAAAACATATAAAGAGCTCTTAAAAATAAGAAAATAGGTGCCGAAGAGACAGAACAATGGGTAAGGCACTTGCTATTCCTGCACACGGCTGAACACCAATGGGAGTAATCTCTGAACACAGAGCCAGGAGGAAGCCCAGAGCACAAATGGTGTGGAGCCCAAATGAGACCAAAAATAAATAAGTAAATAAAAGATTAATACTTCAATTTTTCTAAATGGGCAAATACCTGAACAGATGCCTTCTTCTTATTTTAGGATAATGCCTGTCCACCAACTACGAATATCTTTCAGTCAACCCAACTTCTGAATCCACATCAAAACATAATTATTATTTCATACACTGCTTTTACATCTTTTTCGTTCTGACCGTTCTACTTTTCCAGCTCCCTCCATATACATTTCCTTTTCTACTTTTTTTTTTTTTTAAGATCCCATCCAGGTGGTATTAGATCAAAACTCAAAACTATGAATTGAGACAACTATCAGGAAAATATAAACTCTCCATCTTAAGTTAGAAAATTATGACAAACATAATTGCTGAAAATTTACTTAAAATAGCTACAGCTTAATAAGTATAATTTTTTAATAATATTACTTTTAATATAGCAAAACAACTAATTTCTACATACCATTTCTCATGGCTGTGCTTTCCAAAAGTTCTGTCTGTGGCTGTAGTTCAGCTTCTCCAAGTATCTTGAGAACAGAGTCCGTAGGGCTTTTCCCCCAGACTCTTCTTGGAGACCCACCAGGATCTAATTTAATAACGTCTCCCACTGTATGATCTGTAAGGAAAAGATAGAAAAGCAACACTAGATGAAAGAGAATAACAGTAATATTGCACTGTACGGCAGATTTAAGACTTTCTTCTCCAATTATCCACCACATATCCAATTAAGTGCTTCACAAGAAAAAAGTTATCTTATAGAGTTTAAGATAAAGATGCTTTAAAAAGAAAAATAAGAATTTCAGCAAATCAACGATAATTATCAGAACAAAAGCAACTGAGATTAGTGATAAAAACAAGCAACTAACATTTTTAAAGTGAATTAAATTATCCAATGAATTTAACTAAAATATTGATTGAAGTATTTTAGGGAGTACAAAAATAAAATTACTTAAGAAAATTAAAAAAACTCCCTAAGATATTAAGCAATAACACACAAAAAATTAAAACATAGATACTCTGGGCCAGAGTGATAAAACAGTAGGCAGGGCACTTGCCATGCACACAGCTGACCTGAGTTTAATTCTGGGCACTACGTACGGTGCCCCCAGTCCCCAACAGGAGTGAAATCTGGGCACACAGCTAGGAGTAGGCCCTGAGCACTGGTGGGTATGGTCCACTCCCCCCTCAAATATATGTATATATTTGTTCCTATAAATTTAATTGGGGAAAAGAAAACATTCTATACTAAATACGCATATGGATTAAAAACAAATCTTGTGTTTTTGTCTGCTGAATTCTAACTTAAATTCCACATCGTAAGCAAATTTCCATCGAATCTCAAACAACATCTTTACATTTTAAGAATAATACTTGACAAATTTTAACTTCCACTTGCTCACATTTCTTTTACTACCCTTATGGCTTGATGAGAAATTTTGGAAGTAGAAAGTGAAAAGAAACAAATTGACCGAGCTACAGTATAGGTCACGTCAACATTTAGCCTGGTAACCTCGTCCATTTCTTCCTCTTTACCATTCTGAACTCATGCTAAATTGAGGATGAACTGGTTCTCTGAGCTTTGAGAGTTCTCTGGGTCTGGATAAAAGGTAAAGGCCCGCCCGTTGATCGTCGATTTGCTCGAGCGGGCCCAGTAACGTCTCCATTGGAGACTTTGTTGTTACTATGTTTGGCATATCGAATACTCTCGGTAGCTTGCTGGGCTCTCCGAGAGGGGTGGAGGAATCGAATTCGGGTCGGCCATGTTGGCCGTTTGTAAGGCGAACGCCCGCTGTGCTATCTGGGTCTGGATATTCTGCCTAAAATATTCTCTTTGGTTTTCAGTTTCACCTTACCCTTCAGTACACTGTATTTTCTATATATCATTGCATTAGCTCTTCAAGATCAATTTAGTCCCTGTTATGGACTCTCACATTAGCCAATGATCATTCCTAGCATAATACTTATCAACTGTAATTGTCTCAAATTTCTCTTTCCTCTGAACTCTCAACTCAGTATGAGGGACAATGTCTCAGCAAGTATGCCTTCACTGTTAAGTATCGTGTAGCATGCAGCGGGAAAGAACTAGTTGAATAAACAGACATAATTAATACTCTGAAGCTTGTCCATCAAAAAAGTTTAAAAACTATAGTGAGTTGTTGGTTAGATTTTTCCTTTTTAAAAAATAAGCTCAAAAAAATTTTTTTTAATTTGTCACTGTTCTATTTCCATTCCTAGGAAATCCAGAAAACACTTAGCAATTATTAGTAAATAACTGAATCACAATGTCAAACCTTCTCAATATCTCTGCTAAATGCCTAAAATGGTCTGTCAGAGTTCACTATTCTCAACAAAATCATCCTTTATTATAGATTAATCTGTATGATTAGTTCTCTCTCTTACAGTAGATACTTTGTAATAAAATCTTTGCCGTATTTGAGGTTGAATAATTTTCTCCATTTTCCACATGTACAGACACTCTCAAGCCCCCTAAATGTTTCTTTCAGAGAGTCCAGTCCACAATCTCTATATGTGCTAGACCAGAAATAAGATACTAATGCCTGATACACACTTTCACTTGCAGAGAAGGATGCTTCCAATGTTAAATCACCCACAGGAAGCACAAGTTGACCTCCAGCCTCCCACTTTTTGCGATCCGATGATCCCGATTTTTCTTTATCATGTTCTTTGGCATCTTCATGAGCAAGTTCACACGTCTCAAACTGATCCTGCATTCCTTTTTCATCTTCTTGAGATTTAAGATTTTGATTTAATCTGCGTAGTATTTCCTGTTTATTCTGAAAGATGTAAAATGTTTTAGACCATTTAACTTCCATGAGTAAGGTTGAGCTTTCCTCCCCGCCCCGACCAGGGCTACGGCAGCCGAAGACCTCCAGGACCAGCCACCACCATGCTGAGACCACTCTCCGCACACATGAAGGTACTGGCAGAGGGACAAAGCCACGCGGGTTCCGGGGCCGAGACCTCCAAGCCTACTCGAATTGGAGTCGAGTATCTTCCACCCAGATCCTCCAAATTCCAGTAGGCGGGGGTCACACCCACCACCTGGCCCCCTGGCGCCGTGTAATCCCATCAGCGGCCAAGACTCAGAGACTATAAAATCCAGATCCCGGAACCGCGCGGCCGCATTCGCGCCGCGCGACATCTTAACAGAACTTTTTTTTATGACATCTTATTGTCTTATTCCTACTTTGGACAAACTTGCAGGCTATCGAATGTAGCCTGCCCACAGGGCAGAGTCTGGCAAACTCCCCGTGGCGTACCAAATATGCCAAATACCAGTAACAATGATGGGTCTCTTTCTCCTAAATAGCCTTGAATATAATCTCAGGGCTAGGATGAAAGAGACGTTACTGGGGCCTGCTCGAGGCAATCGACGAATAACAGGATGATGAAAATGAAATGAAATGAGTAAGTAAAAGAGCTGTAATAGAAAAATTAGAAAATTGTACTTACTGAGATAATATCATTAGTCTTTTGCCATTCTTCTGAGTTTTCTTCAGTACCAGTTAAACTTCTGTCCTTTAAACACAGGGACAAAGCAAGGAAAAAATGTTATTTTTTAAAGACCACCTAGCCATATAAGTTTTACAGGTTTTTTTTCCCATTAAATTGCTTCATTTGAATTTTCTAATACTGTGAAATGTCAATACAGTTTGCTTCATTAAAAAATGTAATAGTTAAGTATTATCAGTAAACTTGATATTCAGTAGAGTTGACACTCGCCATAACCATGCTGCTGGACCCTGTGCCAGGTGCTTCAGGGAGCCCCGAAGGGTGGCAGGTGAGACCACTCCCCACCCCAAGGGACCTAGCCACGGCAGCCAAAAACCTCCAGAACTTAACCGCCACCATGCTCACAACTACTCTTCACATGCTCTGGCCAGCCTCACCCACGAGTGAACCTATTCCTGGACCATGCCATACTTCATACCACACACCCTACACATACTCCAAGAGTACCACACCAGATTCATAGTAGGAGGCAACCAATCTTAGATGGAAATATTTTTTACGGAGATATATATATATATATATATATATATATATATAAGCACACAAAGCTCAACCTTTAACAAGATAGTGATCTCTTATAGAAGGGCTTAATGGCCCCTGGTGATATATAACAATATTCACCCTCTGTCCTCTAAGGAAACTTTTTGGTAGCATTTTCAGTGGTTTTCCATAACAAACAATAAAAAATAAATTATTTTGGTTCTGCTTTGGGACAGGGGTTGGGGTTCGAGATGGAAACATCCAAAATATAGTGGTGGAAGGTATAATGATGGTGGGATCAGTGTCTGAATATTAATGTAATCAAATATTGTGAACTACTTTATCACTTGATCACTTGACTTCCCGTTAATTGGCGATTTGCTCCAGCGGGCGCCAATAACGTCTCCATGTCTCCATTTGTCCCTGTCGTGTGCTAGTATAGCCCAATGGCATCTGTTCGTTCTAGGAACACGAAAAGCCTCAAACCGATCGTTAATGATTTTGATGAAGAAGTCTGACCATCTGGTTGGTGGGCGGCCACACGATCTTTTGACATCCCGTGGAATCCAGTCGGTAACAGCTCTAGTCCAGCAGTCGTCTCTAAATCTCATTACGTGACCAGCCCATCCGATTTTTGACGCCTTGGCAAACAAGACAGCATCCCTGATTCTTAATCATCGACAGAGGTCGGAACTCCGGATTCTTTCTCTCATTTGAGTGAAACATGATATTCCAAGCATAGCTCTTTCAATTCCTCTTTGGGAGAACCGAATACTATTCTCATCCTGTTTGCGTAGGGCCCAAGTCTCTGAGGCTTATGTTAATGCAGGAAGAACAGTGGAATCAAAGAGATGTGCCGGGAGCCAGAGGTTCTTCGTCCTCTTAGCTATTTCTTCGATGCTCTTGAAGGCGTTCCAAGCCGCTCTCTTCCTCCTGCGCAGCTTGGGAGCCAGGTCATTTGTCATGTTGACTTCTCGACCTAGGTACACATAGCTGTTGCATTCAGAGGTGGTCGTTCCGTTGAGAGCGAATTCGACATAAGGAACAAGGCTGTTTCTCATAAACATTGTCTTCGTAAGATTCAGCTATAGTCCAACCTTTCCACACTCACGGTCGAAGTCGGCCAGCATTTGTGCCGTTTGGCTAATGTTTGGTATTATTAAAACAATGTCATCAGCAAAGTGGAGGTGGTGTAGTTGCCGACCATCTATCTTCACTCCCATTCCTTCCCATTCCAGTCGTTGCATGATGTTCTCCAGGGTGGCACTGAAGAGTTTCGGTGAAATGGTATCACCCTGCCGAACCCCTCTCTTGACATCAATGATTACTTCTTTGTAGAATGGTGAGATCCTGGTGGTGAATCCGCAATACAGCTCACAGAGGATGCTGATGTATTGAGTTTGAACTACTTTATAAAATAAAAAAATTTTAAAAATATTCAGTAGAGTGCCAATTATTTGCATATATTTGGGCTACTGATCTCATATGTAACTATATCCATCCACTTCCTCTATGGCACCTGATTTTTGGTTTACATTTAAGGCACTTTAAGAAATGGGTTTAGCCACAACACCCAATAAGAGAGAGAGAACAAAAGGGAATGCCCTGCCATAGAGGCACGGTGGGATGGGGGGGGGGGGGGGGAGGGATGGGGGATGGGAGGGATACTGGGATCCGTGGTGGTGGGAAATGGGTACTGGTGGAGGGATGGGTATTTGATCATTGTATAATTGACACCCAAGCACAAAAAATTTTAAGTCTACAACTGTACCTCATGATGTCTCACTAATAAAATAAATAAATAAATTTTAAAAAAAAGAAATGGGTTTGGGTCACCTTGGCTGTGTGTGTGTGTGTGTATGTATATATGTGTATGTGTGTGTATACATATATATATATATAAAAAACCATTAACATATAGTAGTCAAAACTTATTTTAACATTTTGCTTAGGGAAAAAAGTCAATTCTCTATGTGTAGTAATATGGCTTAGTAAGAATAATGCTTATAAATATTAAAGATAACTCTAAAACAGCAGTCTATCTTGTTTTATTCTACCCATCAAAATGTTCCTCTAGACCTTCTGAGAGTATGTGATGGTCCTGGTACATTTAAGCAGTGGAACACACCATACAACACTTCATTTTATGTACAAGACTTTGCGTTTGGATCCCTGGCATCTTCCACTCCACCCCCTAAGGCTATAATTTTATTTGGGGGACCAGAAATAGTACAGCGGATAAGCCACTTCCCCGGCATGTGACCAACCCAAGTGCAATCCCAGTATTGTATATGATCCCTTGAGCACCAACAAGAATGACTACTGAGCACAGAGCTTTATTTACATATCTATATAAAATATTTAATCTATACCACCAAAAATCTTTGTGGGAGTGAGAGAGACAGTAGAGCAGGTAAGGTGCGGGCCTAGCATGTGGCTGACTCAAGTTGAATCCCCAGCATCCTATGTGGTCCCTGGAGCACCACTGGGAGTAATCCCTAATGCAGAGTCAGGAGTAATCTCTGAGCATTGCCAGGTATGGCCCAAATGTTATATCCTAAATATGGCATGAACACAATTCAGAAGTAAGAGGTTAAAAACAACTGATGAATTAAATATAATTATACTGATTCCTCTAACATGTGCTATGCCAAAGATTTTTTTTTTTATTTTTTTATTTTTTTTTTATTTATTTTTTTACAGTTGTAGATTTACAATTTTTTGTGCTTGGGTTTCAATTATACAATGATCAGATACCCATCCCTCCACCAGTGCCCGTTTTTCACCACCATGGATAATATCCCTCCCACCCCCATCCCCCCATCCCCCCCTGTCTCTGTGGCAGGGCAATCCCCTGTGTCCTCTCTCTCCATTTGGGTGTTGTGGTCTGCAAAAGAGGCATTGAGTGGCAAACATGTTCAGTCCATAGTCTACTTTCGACATGCATCTCCCCTCCTGGGAGGATCCTCCAAACATCCTTTATTTGGTGCTCCCTTCTCTATACATATTGAATTTTATTTTTAGAATTTCTTTACATGTCAAAGAGAAGCAACATTTTGTAAGAGCTAGAGTGTAAAAGTAGTTCTTCCATTTTGAGGAACATTTATAATATTGCCTTAGTTTTATGTTATTTAGAAGTGAAAAAGAGAACTATTTTAAATAATTTTAATGTACTGGATAGTTCTAAATATAAAAACCTATCATTAGAACAGACACCTATCATTAGAACAAACCACATGCAAAAATCTTAGAAATAGTTTTTTCCTAAGAAAATAATAAAGAACATTAGGACTTTGTTTAACCTCATCATTTTAATAATATTTTGGCCGTTCTAAATTTTAGTTCTAAATTTTAGGACACTTACCAGACCCACTTCTTTCAAAGCAGAAGTCACCGAAATGGCAGGTCTCATTTGCTGCTTTGATGGCGAGCCACCTGCGTCACACTGGCCCAAAGGCAGTGTCCCATCAGAACTCCTCAGTCCTTTAGTGAACAGCTAGGGAAAAAATGTTTTTAACTTAGATTGAACAACTTATATCTACATAAAGAGATAAAATGGATTATATAATATCCCAGCTATTTCAACTTAGAGAAAAGTAATTCTTTTCTTCATTCATTTTTCATTATGCAAGGCAATATCCTAAGTAATGGGGAAAAACAAAAGAACAGAGACATCTCTGACCCGAGATGTAAACACAACCATGTGAGAGAAAGCACTAAATAACTCTTTCCCACTGCATTATCAATGTTTCATAAAATGATCTGTACAAATAAAAACTTCTTAGGGATTATAATCTAGTCCTTTTTAAATTAATTCATTGGGCTGGAGTGATAGCACAGCAGTAGGGCGTTTGCCTTGTGCGCAGCCAGCCCGGCCAAGCTGGGTTTGATTCCTCTGCCCCTCTTGGAGAGCCCGGCAAGCTACCAAGAGTATCTTGCCTGCACGGCAATGCCTGGTAAGCTACCCAGGTTTCAATATGCCAAACACAGTAACAACAAGTCTCAAAATGGAGACGTTACAGGGTCTGCTCGAGCAAATCAATGGACAATGGGAGGGCAGTATTAGTTTGTTTCAGAAGTGGGAAGAGTTCAACATAATTAAAGCCATCTACCACAAGCCTACAGCAAGCATCATCCTCAATGGGGAAAAACTGAGAGCCTTCCCTCTAAGATCAGGGACAAGACAAGGATGCCCACTATCTCCACTGCTGTTCAATATAGTACTGGAAGTACTTGCAATAGCGATTAGGCAAGAAAAAGATATTAAGGGCATTCAGGTAGGAAAGGAAGAAATCAAGCTCTCACTATGCACAGATGATAATGATACTATACTTAGAGAACCCAATAACCTCCACCAAAAAAATCCTAGAAACAATAGACTCATATAGTAAAGTTGCAGGCTATAAAATCAATACCCACAAGTTCATGGCTTTCCTATACGCAAACAGTGAGAGAGAAGAAAGCAACATGAAAAAAACAGTCCCGTTCACAATTGTTCCCCAGAAAATCAAGTACCTAGGAATCAGCTTAACTAAGGAAGTAAAGGACATGTACAAAGAAAACTACAAAACGCTACTTCAGGAAATAAAAGAGGACATGAGGAAATGGAAAGATATCCCCTGCTCATGGGTCGGGAGACTTAATATTGTCAAAATGGCAATACTACCGAAAGCATTGTATAAATTCAATGTAATCCCTATAAGGATACTCATGACATTCTTCAAAGAAATGGAGCAAACACTCCTGAAATTTATATGGAACAATAATCCCCCACGAATAGCTAAAGCAATTCTTGGGAAAAAGAAAATAGGAGGAATCAACCTCCCTAACTTCAAACTGTACTACAAAGCGGTAATAATCAAAACAGCATGGTACTGGAACAAAGGCAGAACTGCAGACCAATGGAACAGGGTTGAATACACTGACATCTCCCCTCAATCATATGATCATCTAATCTTTGATAAAGGTGCAAGTAATGTGAAGTGGAGTAAGGAAAGCCTCTTTAACAAATTGTGCTGGCATCACTGGACGGCTACATGCAAAAAAATGGGCTCAGAACTCTGCCTAAAACCATGTACAAAAGATCAAAATGGATTAAAGACCTCAACATCAGACCAGACACCATAAGGTACATTGAAGACAGAGTTGGAAAAACCCTCCATGACATTGAGGCTAATGGTACTTTCAAAGATGCCATGCCACTGGCCGAGCAAGTGAAAACAGAGATAGATAAATGGGACTATCTTAAACTAAGAAGCTTCTGCACCTCCAAAGAAACAGTGACCAAAATACAAAGACAGTCTACAGAATGGGAAAGGATATTCGCCAAATACACATCCGACAAGGGGTTGATATCAAGGCTATACAAAGTGCTGGTTGAACTCCACAAGAAGAAAACATCCAACCCCATCAAAAAATGGGGCAATGAAATGAACAGAAACTTTCTCAAAGAAGAAATCTGAAAGGCAAAAAAGCACATGAGAAAATGCTCTACATCATTAATCATCAGGGAGATGCAGATCAAAACCACAATGAGATACCATCTCACACCTCAGAGACTGGCCCACATCCAAAAAAACAAAAGCAACTGATATTGGCGCGGATGTGGCGAGAAAGGGACACTCCTTCACTGTTGGTGGGAATATCGACTGGTTCAGCCCTTCTGGAAAACAGTATGGACGATTCTCAAAAAATTAGAAATTGAGCTCCCATTTGACCCAGCAATACCACTCCTGGGAATATATCCCAGAGAGGCAAAAATGTATAGTCGAAGTGACATCTGCACTTGTTTGTTCATTGCAGCACTCTTTACAATAGCCAGAACCTGGAAGAAACCTGAATGCCCAAGAACAGATGACTGGTTAAAGAAACTTTGGTACATCTACACAATGGAGTACTATGTAGCTCTTAGAAAAGATGAAGTCATGAAATTTACATACAAGTGGTACAACATGGAAAGTATCATGCTAAGCGAAATGAGTCAGAAAGAGAGGGATAGACATAGAAAGATTGCATTCATCTGGGGGATATAAAGTAACAAAATAAGAGATTAATACCCAAGAATAGCTGAGATCAGCACCAGGAGGATTACTCCATAGCTTAGTGGCCAGCCGGGCATTCTAGAGGAAAGGGCAGCTCAGATAGAGAAGGGAGCACCAAATAAAGGGTGTTTGGAGGATCCTCCCAGGAGGGGAGATGCATGTCGAAAGTAGACTATGGACTGAACATGTTTGCCACTCAATGCCTCTTTTGCAGACCACAACACCCAAAAGGAGAGAGAGAACACAGGGGATTTCCCTGCCACAGAGACAGGGGGGGATGGGGGGATGGGGGTGGGGGGATATTACCCATGGTGGTGGAAAATGGGCACTGGTGGAGGGATGGGTATCTGATCATTGTATAATCGAAACCCAAGCACAAAAAATTGTAAATCTACAACTGTACCTCATGGTGTTTCACTAATAATAATAAAAAAAAAGAATTGGGAAGAGTACTCTCGTTAATAATCTTATATTTCAAAGAAAAGCTTCTGCATTTTCTGCAAGTTTGACATAATCACCTTTTTATTTGGGGTTGAAGAGGAACCCAGGTCATGCTCAGGAGACCCGAGAGACCCCTGGGAATTCTCCATCTACGGGGCCGGCAGCTCAGGGCAAGGGCCTGAGGATGCAATGCTGGGGCTGCCCTGGCCACTCTGGGTGGGACAATCTTAAAAAGTCTGAACATCAATTACCTAACATAAAAGACCTCTCGATGAAATTGTAAATGTAAATGAAATAAGTGATAGGTACAAGTAATGAGACTGAATCGTCTGTTGTGTTCATATATGCCTTGTTGTTGTCTGTGGTGCTAGAGACTGAACACTGGTTGTCCCCATGCCAGGCAGGCACTCTACCACTGACCCACCTCGCTGACCATAGTACTAATTTTTATCTTGCCATTTCCACTCTAAACAATGTGAAGTAAGCTTGTGAATATCAAATAAAAGGAATTGGTCTGTAAATGTACACTCAGGGTGACATGGGATGTCGGCTTACTACTGTTTTCTTTTCAGACTTGTGAACAAGAATTTCAGGTGAGTAAACAGATGCAGAGCAATATTTACCGAGCATATTCTAAAAATAAAGCAGAACCGCAATGCTAATACCTAGTCTTCAGAACTTGTATTTCATATCAAAATCAATGCTGCTCAATGTAAAATAAAAATACTTAATGTATTACTGAATGAACTATATTGAGTGACTTTAATGCCTCCTATAAACATACAGTAAACAAAGCGTTGTGGTGTTGATAAAAAAAAAATAGAAGGAGGTGAAAGTAACAGTGACCAAAATATAGAGAGAGCCCAGGAAATGGGAAAGAATATTTACTCAATACACATCTGATAAGAGATTAATATCCAGAATATACAAGACACTTGTAGAATTGTACAAGAAAAGAACCTACAACCCCATCAAAAAATGGGGAGAATGAACAGAAACCTCCTCAAAACAGAAATAAAAAAGGCCAAAAGACACATGAAAAAATGCTCCACATCACTAATCATCAGGGAAATGCAAATCAAAACAACAATGAGATATCATCTCACACCACAGAGACTGGCACACATTCAAAAGAACAAAAGCAACCTGTGTTGCCGTGAATGTGGGGAAAAAGGGACGCTCTTTCACTGTTGGGAATGTCGACTGGTCCAGCCTTTCTGGAAAACGATATGGGCATTCCTTCAAAAACTAGAAACTGAGCTTCCATATAACCCCACAATACCACTTCTGAGACTATACCTCGAGGGTGCAAAAAAGCACAGTAGAAATGACACCTGCACCTGTATGTTCATTGCAATTCTGTTCACAATAGCCAGAATCTGGAAATAACCCAAGTGCCCGAGAACAGACGACTGGTTAAAGAAACTTTGGTATATCTACACAATGGAATACTATGCAGCTGTTAGGAAAGATGAAGTCATGAAATTTTCTTATAAGTGGATGGACATAGAGAGTATCATGCTAAGTGAAATGAGTCAGAAAGAGAGGGACAGACATAGAAGGACTGCACTCATTGTGGAATAGAAAGTAATATAATATGAGAATAATATCCAAGGACAGTAGACACAAGGGCAGAAATATTGCTCAATAGTTGGAAGCCTGCCTCATGAGCTAGGGGAGAAGGCAGCTGGAATAGAGAATGATGGTTGGAGGAATCATCCGGGATGGGAGATGTGTGCTGAAAGATAAAGGACTAAACATGATAACCTTTCAGTATCTGTATTGCAAACTCTAATGCCCAAAAGTAAAGAGAGAGTTTGGGGGAAATTTTCTGCCTAGGAGGCAGGGGGAGGGTTGGGAAGGGGGTAGACTGGGGACATTGGTGGTAGAGTATGTGCTCTGATGGAGGGATGGGTATTTGATCACTGTATGATTGAAACTGAAGTCAGAGCGGGGCTGAGCATCCTCCACCCAGATCCTCCAAATTCCAGTAGGCGGGGGTCACACCCACCAA